GAGTGAGCCTGCACGTGCTTGTTGTGGGGTCTGGGCAGCTTTCTTAGTGACCCCTCCACCTCGGTCTGGATATCTGTGAAATGGCAGTGACCTCTCCTTCATAGAATTAGATGACAGAACTCACCTACAGCATCTGGCAAAGAATAGTGGTTGAATGAATGTTAGGATTTTTCCCTTTCCCAAAGAAAAGTAAATATTAACTAGTGTCCTGGTTAGTTATGGGCCTAGGCATTTTCCCATCTGCAGCTTAAAAATTTTTTTTTGATGTTTATTTATTTTTGAGAGAGAGGGAGGGGCAGAGAGAGAGGGAGACAGAATCTGAAACAGGCTCTAGGCTCTGAGCTGTCAGCACAAAGCCCCACCCGGGGCTCGAACTCACAAACCGTGAGATCATGACCTGAGCTGAAGTTGGATGCTCAACTGACTGAGCCACCCAGGCACCCCATCCCCATTTGCAGCTATAAAAAAAAGGAAGACCAGCCAAGAAAATTTCTGACCTAGTAAAGAAAATGCCAAGCGAGTACTTGGTATCTTCAAATAAGAATTTCCCTACCCGTATTTACATGCTTTTTTTTTTTTTTTTACACTTTAATAAAATCTTAAATAAATAATAAAGTAACCTCTATACCCAACATGGGGCTCGAACTTAAAACCCTGAAATCAGTAGTTGCATGCCCTACCAACTGAGCCAACCAAGTGTCCCTCCTGCGGTATCAAACTCTGATGATCAGGGGGTTCCTGGCTGGCTCATGCCAGTCAGTAGAACATGTGACTCTTGATCTCAGGGTTATGAATTCAAGCCCCATGTTGGGGTATGGAGACTGCTTTAAAAAAAATTGAAAAAACACAAACTCTGGTCAGGATAAAAAGGACAGTTATTTTTTCCTTTCTTGAATCTCAGTTGTAAACTGATTGTTATGGGACAGTAGTGCTAGAGATCAGATTCTTTAAGGTGCTCTTTTGTAATGGGTTTAGAAACCACATGGTATGCATAAAGAAAGATGATGTGATTGCTTAATTCAGAGGTCTTTCAGTACTTTACCTTTTTTTTTTTTTAAAACAGCTTTGTTGAGCTAGAATGCGCATACTCTACAGCTGACCTGTTTTAAATGTACAGTTCAGTGGTTTTCAGTACATTCAGAGTTGTGCAACTGTACATTCCCACATCCAATCCATTTTCATTACCCCAAAAAGACACTTCATGTCCTTAATAATCAGCCTAGTTCTCTTGCTCTCCTGCATCCCCTGGAAATTGCACGTCTGTCTTCTGTCTCTACGGACTTGCCTCTTGTGGACATTTCATATAAATAGGATCATATAGTCTGTGGTCCTTGGTGACTGGTTTCTTTGAGCACTTTACCTGTTAATCTTTTGTTTGGAGAGCAAGGTGAGGTGGCCAGAGGTGCTCTGCTAAAGGTTTAGTCAGCAGATACCGGGAGATAGTAAACTTCAAATGGCTTTGAAAACTTAGAGCAAAAGGGTGCTTGAGTGACTCAGTTGGTTAAGCATCCGACTTTGGCTCAGCTCATAGTCTCACAGTTCGGGAGTTTGAGCCTCACCATGGGCTCTGTGCTGACAGCTCAGAGCCAGGAACCTGCTTCGGATTCTGTGTCTCCCTCTCTGCCTCTCACCTGCTTGCGTGTGCTCATGCTCGCTCACTCTTTTTCTCCCTCCAAAAAGAAGCATGAAAAAAAGTTTTTTTAATTTATTAAAAAAAAAAAACTTAGAGCAGAAAAGAGATAATGTAGTTTTCAAGGAATTTTATTATAGATACTTTGATGCACTATTTAAATATGCTTATGATTTTTAAATGGTTTTAATAACATAATTCAAGTTCCACATATTTAAAAAATGCAATTGAATGAGTTGACTTGTTTATATACTCACAAAATGATCATCACAATCAAGATAATGTACATATCCTTCATCTCCAGTAGCTTCCTTGTATTCTTAGTAATCCAGCTCCTAACCCTGGGCTGGTACTTGTTGCTTTTTTTGTTTTTTTTAATATGTATTAAATGAAAAAATAGTTAGGAGTCAGGGGTGGGAGGTAGTATGTGTGGAGGCCAGCAGGCTGACCTCATGTGACCGCCGTCACTATTTGTTTTCTCTTCTGTAAATTAGTTACCAGGAGCTACCTGCAGTATTATGGTTGGTACTAAATTAAATATTTTTTATGAAGTAGTTAGTATGGTGTCTAACACTCCATAAATGGTAGCTCTTGTTAGTGTTACTTTGTGTCATACTGAAGTACTTGACATATTGGATAATTTGTCACCATCACTACTATGTGCCTAGTATGAAGCCTAATACATGGTAGGTACTCAGTTTATATTAATTCTCTCCCTCTTCCTTCATTGTTAAGTATACCACGTGACATTTGTTATTGTTCAGGAAGCCTAACTACTACCAACTTTGAGAACGGATTTGAAAAGTTTCCACCTCTTCATCCAGCGGATTTTGTCGAGCACATGGTGTGTCCATCCCTGCCCTGTGCATTGGGCCCTGTGGATGGTTCCAGGTCGAGTAAGACAGGAGATCCGTCCTGTATGTGTCCAACCAGGGTCTGTTCATGGGGCCTGAACAGAGTGGGGTGGAAGTTGAGAGGTCGGAGTGGTTGTCCCTGTCTGTGGAGACTCTGTGTTGGCCCTGTGCAGGGTACGTAGTTAGATTAAGGTCTCAGAGGGGTCAGAGGGGAGGCGTTTTAACCTGAGGAATGGGGTCGGTGTTGTGCAGTCCTCTCAAGCTCTGTCTGGGAGCCGGGCAGCGGTCCCAGTGTCGGCGGCATGGACACAGCCCCTCAGGAGTTAGGGGAGACACAGCTGGAGAGGAAGCCTGGGGGAGTCCACCGCATGCTTCCTCCTGGGCTGAGGAGGGGAGTCGTGCTTTGTCAGTCAGTAGGGAGCCTGTAAAGATGTTCCAGTAAGGGGGAGAGTTCTCTTGCAAACAGACTGTTTTTGAGGTGGCTCTTGAGTATTGCATTGAGTTTGACAGGAAGACAGTTTAGTGATCAAGGGAGACTATAAATTATCTGGGTAGGATTTAGAATCTTAACTAGATTGGGGACTACGAGAAAGGAAGTGGGTAAAAATGTAGAGTTGGTGCCTGATTGTTTGGCCAGGTTGTGGTTTCTTCACCTTCCAGAATACTCGCAGAGTGCTTACAGTGTGCCAGCGGCTCCTGATGTGGTCCCCGCAACAGGGACGTGTAGGTACAATTGTACTTCTTTTTCAGATGGGGAAACTAAAGGTCAGGGTGGCTTAGCTGGCTTAGAGGGCGTGTTCATCGCCCTCCACCTCTGCTGCTCTTTCTCTTCCCCAACCGTCTCTGTGACCTCTCAGCTTTCCTTCTCCAGCATCTCTCCTCCCCCCTCCCTCCCACCTCCTGTTCTCTCTTGCCTCCACCTCCCTCCCTTCTGTCCCCTTTGTTCAGTCTTCATCTGTCACAGCAGCTGTTGGGACCACACTCCAGGTCATCATTTGCACTCCAAAATGTTTTCTCTAAACATAAATTGGGACAAGTCTTTTTTTTTTTTTAAAGATGCTTCCTGTCTCTGGGTAGACCATAGAATTCAAGGCTTTTATTGTGTTCTCACCCTTTATAGATTGTCCCCTTTCCCCAAATGGCAATGTTCATTCCTGTTTGGCTCTGTGCCTTTGCTTGGGCATTTTCTACACCTGAAGTGACCTCCTTCCTTTTCTCTGCATCATGAACTTCTCATCATTTGTTCAGGAAACTCACACAAATTACTGTGTCTGTGATGCCTTGGGCGACTGGGCTCTTCATTCCTTCTTATTGGGCTGGAGCAGGTCTTGTAGTTTACATAATTATCCAATACCAGACTCTTTTTAAAACTGATTTGAGCAACTTACAAAAATCGACGTAGCAGTAAAAAACAGATGAACAGAGAAGAGCAAAGGGACTCTTAGGGTAGAGAAATAAAGCCAAGAATAAGATTAGTGTGGAAACATGTGCCGTCATGGCCTGCACAGTGTTGGAAGTAGCTTTATTCCAACTGCCTGGCACAAAGAGGGAAAGCATGAACTGTTCGTTTCCCCAGCGGCCATCAAATGAATAAAGCCAGTCGCTCTGTGAAGAGCTTTTCCTGATACTGAGGATTGAGAGGAATGTTTCTGGGGTGAGTGAGAAGTTGGGGAAGGAGGTTGGAGATATACGGAGTCTTAAAGGCATCCCTCCAGCACCTGCACAGCCAGGTTCATAAGGTGTCTTCCTGTAAGTGACCTTGATACAGTGATAGAGCATAACACTAAAGCACAGCTTAGAAAACAGTTATATAAAAGCCAGGACTCTGGCCCTAAAGCAGAGCTTCTCCAAGGATAAAATGGAATAATACTCTGCTTTGTTGTAGTTATTGTTTCACATGTATTTACCTCCAAAAGCAAGCACCTTCTCCTAGGCAGGGTCCATGTTCTGCTCTGGTTTGATCCAAAGGAGAAAACCTTGAGGTGAGGAATGAGAAGAGCCATCTGTGACTGGGGTTTACTCAGCGCTCTGCTTTGAGTTCTGTGTGCTCGGTCAGATTCATATCTGAGATACAAGGTCTACCAATAAATGGCTCTAAGTTTTCTTCCCTCTGTCCAGGAGCCCACCTGTTCCTGAGACCGTTTTTAGCAGCAAGCGCACCAGCCACGTGCAGGGGCAGAGTGACTGCAGCGAGGCCACTGTTTGGCTGCCAGCACCTTACAGAGGAGAGCTTCTAAAATTTTTAATAAATTCAGCAGTGCTCAAAGTTGCACATTTAATTCTCCCTTTGTCTACTGCATGTGGGACTAAGATGACCTGATACTGTCATGATTACTAAGTCAGATTCAGAAAGAGGTCTGCATTTTCATGCAGAAGGCAGAAATAGCAAGTGTATTGAATGAGGTCGGTTCTCCCCAAATAGCCCTTCTCTCTATAATCAGAGTCCAAATGTGTTGTGACGTTCCTTTGATCCCCCGCCTTAACAGCTGCTTTTCTCCCTTTCTGTCTCTGCATAGGAACTTGATAAAGAGCTTCCAGTGCTGAGGCCGTATTTTATCGATGACCCCGAGGAAGTTGGGGTGCGGGAAGCCGGCCTCAGAGTCACGTGGCTGGGACATGCGACGGTCATGGTGGAAATGGACGAGCTGGTATTTCTCACGGATCCCGTCTTTAGCTCCCGTGCGTCACCGTCACAGCACATGGGTCCGAAGCGCTTCCGCCGTCCACCGTGCACCATAGGTGAACTCCCCCCAATAGATGCTGTCCTTATCAGTCACAACCACTATGACCATCTGGACTATCATTCTGTCGTCGCTCTGAATGAGCGATTCGGTCAGGAGTTGCGATGGTTTGTTCCTTTGGGTCTCCTGGACTGGATGCAGAAGTGCGGCTGTGAGAATGTGATCGAGCTGGACTGGTGGGAGGAGAATTGTGTCCCGGGACATGACAAGGTGACCTTTGTCTTTACGCCCTCCCAGCACTGGTGCAAACGGACTCTCATGGATGACAACAAGGTTCTATGGGGCAGCTGGTCTGTCTTGGGGCCTTGGAGCCGTTTTTTTTTTGCAGGAGACACTGGCTATTGCTCTGCCTTTGAAGAGATAGGAAAAAGGTTTGGACCTTTTGACCTTGCAGCTATTCCCATCGGAGCGTATGAACCAAGGTGTGTACACGTCCCAGGAAGGCAGCCCTGCCACGTAATAAGTGGCCTCAACTCTGAAGTGGTTATGAGTCCCTGGTCATTTGCGATATCCTTTGTGATTCTAATGGACTTGTGGTGGTGGTGGCTGTTACTGGGGGGGATGGTGGGTCCGATTCAATTAAATTTCTTTCGAGAGTATTTCATTCAGTCATATTCCAGTAAGTAATTACTCAGAAGCAGAAATTATATTACCCAGAAAGATGGATGAAGGTTTAAAGAATTGCTGTAACCTAGCTACATGTTCATGTACCCTTCTGAGTCAAGGTGAACCGGCCAGCCAGTAATCAAACCTAGCTCTTGTTCTTCACATGGAGGACACGCCACATACCCACCTTTCACTCCACACCTGGGGTGCACCCGTCCCCAGACTGTAGCCCTCCTGCGTTTGGCAGAGAAGAGGCAAGGAATCCTAGCAATCAGTCCCTTGCAGTGGTGTTATCTCAGTCCGTACTGAAGTTAAGGTGACAGTGACCCCCCGGCATGCCCCTCCCCACGCCCCAAGTCAGAGCTGTTGAAAGGTCACAGTAGCAGCAGAGACCGAGAAGAGCCAGCCCTGCCTGTGCTCTCCCTCATCTTGTCTAAGGAAAAGAGACGTGACTTCAAAGAATGAGGTTAGATTTCAGCTAACTGGGTGATAGGAACAAGGTAAGAGAAAATAAACACTAATAGTAGAAGAATGCGTTATTTTCTAAAGTACATGCACAGATACAGAATTGTATGTAGGATGGCATTTTATTTCAGCAGTCCTACAAGCAGAACACTAGTTCAAGAATGAATTGAGCAAATCTAATCATTAGTTTCCATCTGATTTTATTACTACTTAACTTTGAAGGTTTGCCAAAACCATTTCTTTACTGTCTTTATGAATATTTTTTTCTAGTTTAAGAGGCTAGACACTTTGACCTTATTTTAAAAAACTGTGAATCTGTAGTAGTGCTTGAACTATACTTTCCCACTATAATTCTAATGAAACATCCTGTTTTCAAATCAATTTCATATAGTATTGATCTTTACTCAATATATGTTCTTACTGTATTAGAATATCTCATTTGTAATTATGAGAACTCTTCCTGTGTCACAGTTTATAAAGATCATCTATATGGGATGGTAAAATGTGTATAATCAACTACACAAATTCATTTACAGAATTCCCCCTTCCTGCTCGCCCTGTAACCTCTACTGTGTAATCCATTGCACTGGTCAGTGCTGACAGGTTTAGAAATAACACAACTTCAGAGTCCTCTATAAATGAAATGGTTACACCAGTAGTAGACCTGTAATGTTCATACTTACGTTACGGTATGGTCTTCTGTCACTCGGTATTTCATCCGGGTCGGTTAGGAAGTCGTGTATGTTTTGTTTTGAAGTAGACTTCATGCCCAGTGTGGAGCCCAGTGCAGGGCTTGAACTTACAACCGTGAGATCACGACCTGACTTGAGTTCAAGAGTCAGATGTCTAACTCACTAAGCCAGCCAGGCACACCCCCACCCGCTTTTTTTTTTTTTTTTTAAAGTAAGCCCTACACCCAATGTGGGGCTTGAACTCATGACCCTGACTTGAAGAATCACATGCTCTAGCCAGCCAGGTACCTAGGCCAAGTTTTTATTGTAACTTTCACACGAGAGTAAAAACTTTTAAATTTATTTCAGGTAGACATGAAGGTGGAAAGCAAAGCCCTTTGCTTTGCTGTAGGAATTTAAGAAAAAAATCAATAGAAACACCACAAACTGTATTCTGAGTGTCAGGAAAGAGGGCAGAACAGTACTTTTCTAATCTGCTGTCGAGGAGAACACAGTGGCTTTGTTGCTAGGCTCCCAGGAGGCCCAGCACCTCCTACCAGTAAACAGCCCTTTAGCTGCTGCAGATGGATAAATTTTCCATGATGTGGTCTCTACAGGCCAGAAGCACGTGTGTTGAATGCATGTCCGAGTCCTCACTGCAGCACAGTTGCAGTAGTGGAGCTGGGAGGGGTCCCCACGCAGGCCGCTGCCCCCTGCGCCCGGCTCTGTCGCAGGCACTCGACAGCCTTACACTGTGTCCACACGCTCTTCACTTAGTCCCCGGCGTGTGCCCTGTGCTTGCTCAGGCCTCCGCCTCACTGTTCAGCTGTAGGATGCTCAGATAAAATCCCTGAATGGTAACTGGGCTTTTTTTGCTCCCAGTTTTTAAATCTTATTTTGTTTGCTTTTTGCTTCAGCAAGTTTTAAAAACATGGTTTCAGCAACTTAGGTTCTTTCAAATTGCACTTTTGGTTTCTAGTTATTTATCTGTTATCCAGTTTCTTTGATTGCTATCAGGATTGCAAAATACCTATTTTTAAAGAATAAGACCTACCTGTAGAATAAACCATCAGTAAAATCAAATACACATGAAACGACATCTTACCTTTGAAAGGGGACTTTCGCTTGAGACTTAGCTGTGGTGTCGCTGTTTGTGCAAGAAAGAGTTGTGGTTTTTTTTTTTCCAGCAGAAAAGTGGGCTTAAAACAGATGGTTTTGCCTACTGTCTTACTTCTGAGCAGAACCTTAAAGCTTGATTAGATGAAGCAGTAATTGGAAGTTAGTGTATATTTCAAAGGCCAGAATTAATAAATTGCTGTTTTATCAGGTGGTTCATGAAATATCAGCATGTAGACCCAGAAGAAGCTGTAAGGATTCACATTGATGTCCAGACGAAGAAATCTGTGGCAATTCACTGGGGAACTTTTGCCTTAGCAAATGAGGTGAGTTTGACTGTAATAAATAGGACTTTGGTTACGTGTCTGACCTGAGAGGATCCTGGGATCAGCACACCTTGCAGTGTGTTCAGAGGCCAGACAAGAATCAGAACCTGCAGTCCTCAAATGAATTAAGGGGGTAAGCCATATTAGTAAAACCGTATTTATAGTTAAAATAACGTCATTACATGCTGTTCTTTTGGAAGCATGTGTTTATATAACCAAAACGTATATAATCTTGGAAAATAGAAAAATGAACCATCATGTCTTCCCTCTCAAGGGGGCTTTTGTTCCAGGAGAAGATGCAAGTTGTGTACATAACTCTAAAGCACGTTAAAAGGACTGAGTGCTTCATGGTGAAATAAAGTGCTTTCAAGAGACAGACTGTTTCTGATTTGGAGGGAGCAAGGAGGGCTTAATGGAAGAGGTGATATCTGAATGTGACTCTGAGAAGGCAAGGAAGAAGGCATTTCAAAAGAAGTAAGGGGCATAGGATTGGAGGCAGCAAGTGGGGGCATAGTGAGTGTATGTGACGTGTAGGGCAATGGGGAAGTGAGGCTGGACAGCCTGGAATTTTTAGGAGTGTTATTTAGTCAGTAAACTGTGTCTCCTATGTGCCAGGCATTGGGATAAATGGTGGCTTTATTCCTGGACTGATTTTTTTTCCTTAGCAAAAAACATTTTCTCCTTTCTTGGAACTGGGACCTGTCCTAAGTAAGATTTAGAAATGGATGGTCCAGGGGCACCTGGTTAGCTCAGTCGGTTAAGCGTCCAACTCTTGATTTCGGCTCAGGTCATGATCCCAGGGTTGTGAGATCAAGCCCCACGTTGGACAGTGGTTTGTGGAGCCTGCTTAGGATTCTCTTCCATCTTCCCTGCTCTCTGCTTGTGCTCTCACATGCTCGTGTTCTCTCTCCAAAACAAAACAAAGATGGTTGAACTTGGCCTCTCCTTTGCTTTGTGTGGCCTCTTCCCCATCCCAGGACCCCTCTGCAGGAACCCTGTGTTTTCAGGCTGTGCTAGGCAGTCCCTCTGCCTGATTTCTGGCCTGCCGTCTCCCTAAGTCACATCTTGTTCTGTAATTACCTAATACACTGCCTGCCAACCCCTACTGCCCCCAGTTAGGATTCCAGTCCCATGATGCAGCAGCCCTGAGCCACGTTACCGGGAGATGGAACAGAGCAAATAAATGAATGACAACGGGCCGGGGGGGATGAATAGTGGGAACAGGAGTATGTGTGTGTATATTTGGAAAGGAAACTGGCTACTGCTTCCCAGTGGCACACTATACTATTCGGGGCAATTGCTTATTCCATATGTAATCGTGTATGTTCATTCCACACCCAGATACATGTGTTCCTTAGATGAAGTTACAGTATTTCTTCAAACTCATTCAAAAAGAGGAATCAAGGATGACTCCCTAGGTTTTTAACTTAATGGGGAAGATGCTTATGCTCTTTAAGGATATGGGGACGAAGAGGAAAGGGTAGGATACCTCAGACTTCAAGAGTTATTCAGCCGTCAAGAATTAGTCCTGTCATAAATCTAACCTCCATCTTTATTTCTTAATGAAACCTATAGTAACACTTTAAGTCTTAACAATTTAGAATGTGTTCACGTTTTGACATGAGTTGCATAAACCTGACACCTATGAATTTGTTAAACTATAAAGACAACAGAATAGATGTTTACCCTATGAGTGAACACTTGTAAATGATTTGCATAAAAGTAGTTAAGATAGCGGCTTACTACAGTATCAGGCAACTGAGGATGTCCTTAACCTGGCAACACTTAAAAACTGTATATACAGCAACATCTAATTTATCCAGCGAATCACGAGTGAATTTCCAACATGATGTATGTAAGCACTAAAGCATAAAAATGCACTTGTTTTGGTGGAAACAAATTTCAGGCATTACATATGCTGAAAGCTATGCTACCTTTTTAACCTGTTGGAGTAGATCATAAAACAGTGACCGTTTAAAAGGGAATTTATGAGTTGTCTGGGCTGGTTGCATAGCCCTGATTGGAACCAGAATCGGGTGCTTCCTCCACTGCTTCACTCTTCCCTCTGATCTGCTGTCTTGCTCGATTCGTAGTTGTTGCATGGCTGTGGGGCAGTTTTACCTCCCTTGTGGGACTAAAGTGCTTGCATGAGTCACTCAGAAGGCTTTCTTGCCTTCTAGAGTTATCTTTTAGATGGCCCAAACAGCCAACCATCGACCTATGAGAAACTCAGATCATACAACATCAAAATCCACATTAAATTAGAGTCTGTCCCTAAACTGATCAGCAAAGGATTAGTGTGGGGTGACTGTGTAAGTGTATTGTTGGCCAAGACTTGTAGAGCACTGGGGTGCGGGGTGGAGGGGTGAGATTTAACAAGTTTTCAGTGGGAAAGCATTTCATCATTTTCAAATCCCTTATACTAAAATAATACTAAAATAATTTTGCAGGAGAAATGTCTGACTTAGGCTGTTAAAGTTACATTTAATTGGTGATATACTAGCAGTTTCCTATGTGAAGAAAAAAGACTCAGTCTGGAAGCAAATGAAGGAGAAAAGACGACCTGTGTGTCTTAAGCAACAGGACACTTTCCTGGTTTTGCTAGTACATCACTGGCTGGCTGTCCCTTTTGGTCACCATGGCTGCTCCCCACCCCCTAGCAGTGAGTGCCTTTGGATTCAGTTTGTGGGCCTCTTTTCTAGTGGGTTACTTTATATTTCCAGATTTTACAGCTTTTCTTTTTAAAGTTGTTTTTTTTTTTTTTTTTTTTTTTTTTAAAGTTGAGAGCAGGCGAGCAAGGAAGGGGCAGAGAGAGAGGCAGAGACAGAACCCCAACCAGACTCTGCACTGTCAGAGCAGAGCCTAACTTGGGGCTCAATCCCACAAACCCTGAGATCATGACCTGAACTGAAATCAAGAGTTGGACGCTTAACTGACTGAGCCACGCAGGTACCCCACAGCTTTTCTAATTGAAATTGAGAAAAAAAGAACCTTTGAATAAAGGAAAAAATAGGAAACAAAGGGAAATGGGGGAAATTCTACCAGTTTTGGTTCTCTGGGTCCCTCTTATACTCTGTAGACTAGTGTCGATACTTGCCTAGGGATTTGAGGGTGACAGCCTTCTATGAGCCAAAAAAAGTTTTCTCCAGCATTTGCTTATACTCTTATAACCTAAGGTTCCATATTCTTTATTTTAAAAAAACTTTATTTTTGAGAGCAAACAAGTGTGAGTGGAGGGGCAGAGAGAGAGGGAGACACAGAATCTGAAGAAGGCTCCAGGCTCTGAGCTATTACGACAGAGTCTGACGTGGGGCTTGAACTCACAGACGGTGAGATCACGACCTGAGCCAAAGTTGGACGCTTAACCACCTGAGCCACCCAGGCTTTCCCCACTAAACTTAAATATTCTTAAAAAATGTTGGTAACCTCTAATTCTGTAATACTATCTTTGCCATGATTTCATTAAGACTGAAATTTCATGTAGTGGAAGTCATCAGATTTTATGCAATCTAGTGAGGTTCAATCTAAGTTGGCACCAAATTTGACATGCATGATCTCTAGATAGATTGGTAAGTATGATATTTGTTAATGACTACATTAGAAAATGTGATGGACTCATTTGCTAATACTTGCATAAAAAAGTTATTTTAAGTAGGCATATGTTGGTTAGTTTCAACTCTTATTTGAAGTAACCCCCCAATATATTCATGGTTAATCCTTTTCCCTTGTGTTCCTCGGTTTGCCCTTTGCCAGCATTACTTAGAGCCCCCAGTGAAACTGAGTGAGGCTCTGGGAAGATACGGACTTACAAGTGAAGATTTTTTTGTCTTGAGGCACGGAGAATCCAGATACCTCCATACTGACGATGAAAACTCTGAATAAATGTGAGCACGGGAGCTTTTTGTGAAAAAGGTATCCTCTAAGCTAGGAAAGACTGAGAAATTCATGAATATTAGGACGTTTTACATTTGGAAACCACTTCTATAAGTTTGTGTTTTATGTGACAACTTGCTTGCTACTCCAAATGCCAGTTCATATGAAGAAGAGTTCAGAGGTGGGTCTTTAAAAAATGAATTGGCAGAGAGGAATGTGAATCCTGTCTCAATGGTAGAAGCATTGAAACGGTATTTTTTTTAAAGGACTGTTCTTTAGTGGTAGAATTTGGAAGTTATGAAAACTGATTTTAAAGTCTTCTTTCTGTTCTTCTGGTTCAGGGCCTGCTACAGGTCGAGTCTGTCTACCTAGATTGTTTGAGGCTGCACATAGAAGTTTCTTACATTCTCATTAGAGTAAGTGATGGAATGGACACCTGCCTGCTTACAGCATTTCTTGTTCCGTCAAGATTAGCTTATATGCCAAATGTTGTGATTTATTTTCTTAAGTATAAAACCATAGGAGGTTGGGCTAAGTTATCATTTTTAAAGACTTCATTTTTAAAAAGAGGAATATATTCTGTTGCACATCTCCAGTCCCCAAATCAGAAGATGCCTGAGTTGGGCAAAGGAAGGGAGAGAGTGTAGTTATGAGGACATGACCGATGACCTCTTCTATTTTTAATCTGTAAGTCAGACCTGCTGAGCACAAAGATCACTGCAGGGAAATGATATTTTACAAAGATAAATGCAGACCTTAAAATGTTAATAATTCCCCCTATATTCTCTTTTCTCTCCACCTTCTCATCCCCCCCCCTTGTTTCTTAGCTCCAACCCTCAATATATCAATATATCAATAAGATTTAGAAATAATTTGTTTGTTTTACATGATCAGAGGTCTTCTATTTTTATATTAAATGACCCCTACGCACAATTCTGCTTTTACTAAGCTAGTGCGGAATACTCGCAGTTTAAAAGTGATTCCGGGAATTAGTTGACCTGAGTCCTGTAAGGGCTCTGGGGTCGCCCAGGTGCTCTGAACCTTCCTCGGAGCCTATGAGGTACCTGAGAGGCCCATCCCATCTTGCTGAAACCAGCTTCATTCGTACAATAATCAAAGTAGGCTTTTTACACCTGCTGCTGCATAGGTGGTGTTCTGTTTTCACATACACATCCTGCATGCCACCTATTAGCCATGTCCTCGGAATTTTAATCCTGCTTCCGCCACGATTCTGTGTATCCTGACACAAGTCACCTACGCTCACTGTGCCTCAGTTTCCTCAAGTGCAACAAGGGGATAATTTTGACCTACCTCCAAAAAATGTGAATAGTGATTTTTTTTTTAAAAGCACTTTGAAAATATAAGGGAGAAAATTATTTCTTAAGACACCACTGCCTACTATAGACCCGTAGAGCTGAAAATAGGCTCATGCTTTTGATCGCGTATTGTTCCTATTGCAGATTCAAGCATCTCTACCTAGGACATGAAGCACTGAGGACTAACAACTTTATCTCCTTTTATAAATCTGGAGAGTAATAGCCAAAACCCATGTAAATGAGCTTTATCAAAATTTAGCATTTTTTATCTTACAAAGATGCAAATCAGTCAGGGGGATATGTATATATAATGTGTGTGAATGTATGTGATTTGGAGGCACTAAAGCACAAAAAATTTCCCCATAAAATAACCTTCAGGAAAAAAACAACCACTATAAACCTTTCACTCCAAAGGAACATTCTAGCAGGTAGATGGGAATGGAGAAGTTAGGTTGATGGTGGATTAGCTTTGGGGCCGGGTGCCCTCCTTGCTGTTGCACGCTGCATTCAACACGCCTCTCCTGCCTCTGCTCTGAGGCAGCCCCAGCTCATCTTAATTTGTCTGCTCCATGAATGGCCTTAACATGGTTTCTGTATTCACGTGTACTGCGTAACCACAGGTCTCTGAGCACTTTAAATTAGATTCTAGTTCCACTGAATTAGGCCTGCCTTGTTTTTCCAGGCCTCCTCACAAGCTTTAATTTTGATTACCATTCAGATTCTAGGTCGACATTTTACGTACATCCAGCTAACATCTCCTTGTACAATCTCATTCTACTGAGTGATTTCCGTTTTCTCACTTAGCTACCTTTGTACGTGCTTATGTATAAAACAAAACCAAATTTGGAAAGCCAAATCCACTCTCTTGCCTCTATTCCGTCTAACCTCTGCCGTAATACCTTTTACTTGATCGTATCGGATCAGTTTTATTTTTCCCTTTGATTAGGTAGCACCCATTTGACCACGTGAGATGTGACTGAGGAACCCCTTGATGTCCCTCCTTGCCTGGAGGGTGGGATCACCTAGTGTGTGTTGGGGGGGAATCTTAAGAAAAGCCAAGATATGCCATGACCTGCACAGATGGAAGATCTGTTTGTGCATTTTCACTTTGTAATTTTTCCTGGGTAGTCAAAAATGACTCCCCCTTTTCTCTAGCATTTTGACATATCAGACATAATGCTCTGATCTCCAGGAAATGGGATGATCTATTCAAAGAAAAAACAGAAGAAGGAAGAGTTGGGGTTTTAGAATCCAGTGCTGCCAACGCACATTAAAGCCAAATCCTAGTTTTTATCATGTGCACACTTTGATTTTCACTAAAGGCAGATCTTAAAAAAAAAAACAAAAAACCAACTGTTATAAAGAAGTGTGCCTTTCAGGGAATTAGTACTTTTACTTATCAGTGATGCAAACCTAAGTAGTGTTCTTAGCATCTACACATTACTACCGTAGCCACCTGGGAACTTCCCCGTTTTCACCTCAATACTGAATCCTTTTTCTACTATAAAAGTAATTCTTCCAAGTTTGATTTCTGTATCAGGATAAGCCTGAAAATACACATTTTGCTGTTTGAGGATCTGTGACTTCCTATGGAAATCCATGTATTTACAAATGAAATTAAAGTACTTGTATGGCTTTGCCTTAACTACCTGGAGTAGGAAAGTGCTGCTTGCATACTGGTTTACTTAATACTCAGCATGGTGATGGTTATGAGCTTGAACATTATAAAACCTGGCTGATTGGAAATCTATTAATTGTTACAATAGCTTATGGAATAAAAATACTCTGAAGATAATGACTAAAATTACAATATATGAAAAATATCTGCTAAATAAATATGAAAATGAATAAAGTACTATCAGGAGAAAATGCGTATAAACTTTTTTCCTTTTTATTAAAAAATTATAAAACTTATGCTCATAGTAAAATTCAGATGGTAGTAGAAGAGTAAACATAGAAAAGACCTTTCCTCAGTCCCGTCTGGGTATCATTCTAGAAAATAGTCTCTCTGGATGGAAGCACAGTTTTCATTTAAAAAACACAGGGTTTTTTTCATGGATGCCTTTCCACATGAGCACATTCAGACCTGCTTAATTCTTTTAAGATTAGGTAACTGACTTAACCCGTTGCCTGTGGATGGACGTTTGATGGTACACAGCATCTTCACAGGCTGGCGTACTGAGAAGGAGTGGTAAGCCTGAGGAAAGTTTTCATCGACTCAGACGAGGCTCTAACGAAGGGAACAGACTTGGGAAGCATAAGGTATGGCTGGGCTGGCAGGGGCCCTCAAAGACTCAGGCACTCTGCCACCGGCACGAGGTCATACCTGCAACGGCCCTGAACCAACTAATGAATCACACGCTAAAGCGGTCTCAGACGAGTAACTGCACCTTACTTCCAAGGGCAGAAGGTTAGCTTACACGTGAAAAACAAGACTGTCACGTAGAGGACATAATTGAAGTAAACTCCGCAAATGGCAAAATACAAAGACCTTTCAGAACAAGCTCTTCTGTGCATTTGGTATCAATAAAATGGTTCAAAATAGACCAGAAGACCATGGCAAGTTATAGCTGTGTTAATGATGAAACTACTGTTTGAGTTAAGCAGCTGAAAGAATTTCAGCTCCCTTGGTAAGGAAGATGAAAAATAAGACCAATTAGAATTTTGGTAATACTGTTACCTTTTCTTTCACGTCTGCATCATGGTGATCAACTAAAGCTCTCATTTTCTGGGCACATTCTTCTCCGTATAACAGGAAAAACAGTGAACCTTTAGGGAAGGTAGGCTGAATAGCTAAAGAGCCTTCTTTTTTGAAGCAGTTATTTATATTCTGAAATAGTGTAAGAACCCGAAGAAGGATCTCCTTTGCCACGTGGCTGTCATAAAGGGAAAGAAATGATGAATCCACCTGAAATAGGAAACGATAACTATTTTAATAATTTATGAAAACATTTTTCACGTATATTCTCCCACTTTAAAACTACACTGAGGGGCGCCTGGGTGGCTCAATGGGTTAAGCGTCCGACTTCGGCTCAGGTCGTGATCTCATGGTTCGTGGGTTCAAGCCCTGCATCAGGCTCTGTGCTGACAGCCAGCTCAGAGCCTGGGGCCTGTTTCAGATTTTGTATCTCCTTCTCTCTCTGACCCTCCCCTGCTCACACTGTCTCTCTCTCAAAAATAAGTAAAAAAAAAACATTAAAAAAAACTATACTGAAAACATTTTATAAAATCTTGTCATAGAAAATTATCCCTAAAATCACCTAACATAAATGTAAAATCTTATGCACCCTACACTGTATACCAGTGGGAAAAAAAAAGGCTTCACAGTGTTAGCTAAAAAATTCTGTTTTCTTAAGAGTCCTAGATTGTAGTCATTTGGAAAAGTACCCACGTCCTTTTTAAGGTCCCAGTTTCTTGACAGGAATTCCTCAACAACCCAGACAGCTGCTGCCCACTGTGGGCACTGGAATGGGGCACACGGAACAGCGGGTCACTGTCACAGGCCCCTCCTTGACAGGAGTTGACCCCTGTTCTCTATTAGCACCGCCCTCGCTCTCTTCAGAACACTTATCACAGCTTTTAGTGACCTTGTTTTGTTACATATTGTTTTAGTCTCCTCACAAGCTCCACATCACGTGTGCACACTGGTGTCCTGGGGACCCGGTGAAGACTAAGGTTTCAGTGGATGTGAAGGTACATGTGAACACAAGTAGGTCAAGTATAGGAGATGTGAGGACATACTGGGACCCCAAAAATGGATAGGCAGAATTATAATTTACTGTTGTTAGAACTTTTCCAAAATGATTTTTAGAAGTAGAATATGTTCATTACAGAAAACTTAGGAAATTCATATATAGGCAAAAAGAACCAAAAAAAAAAAAATCTTTGTTAACATGTTGAGATAAAATCTTTCTAGATCTGTCCAAATCTATATACTTGTGTACTTATAAAACAAACATGTAAACTATTTACCTGGGCACCAAGTAGTCCTTCTGCCATGGCTGGGTTTTCAGATAAATTCACAAGCAGCTTCAAAACTTGAACCTGAAATAAGAGTAATATTGGTGTGTTTCAGACCAGTAACCACGGATTTTCCCTCCCCGGCAGACTGCCCTCTCGCTGTGGTCCCGTTCCGAGGTCCTGCCTGGGCATCCAGGTCTGGTGCACACCCTCTACCCCACGGAGCCGGCTCGCGCGTCCTGCGAGGGCCTCTCCCCACCACCTGGTGGCGCACTCCAGGGACACTTCTCATACAGCAGGCTTATTTAATCCTTAGTTTTTCAAGTACACTGTCAGGGAGGAGATCCTGAAGGTCTCCCTGCTTACCCCTCCCTCCAAAACATGGAAATAAACGTAACATCTATTACATAAATGATCTTTATTATGACTACTGGTAAGTGAAATATCTTTGGAACAAAAAAGGGATCTCTCAAAGCTCTTAGAGCAGTTTGGTTACCAAGACTAGATAAAAATATGGCCCTTTTCTGTTTTAATAGGCTACTATGAACCTTTGAGCTTAGCTTTTTTTTTTAACGTGAAAAATACATTAAATTCCTTTAAATAGGCAGTGATAAAAATAAATAAATGTTAACTTCTAGCAGACTAGCTAAAATATCAGCATTCCCGTCACCTGTAACTGGTCAGTACAGCTGACCCCCTTATCTGCAGGGGATACATTCCAAGACCCCCAGCATATGCCTAAAATCATGGACAGGATCAAACTCCATATATATTGCATTCTTCCCTATACATACGTGCCTAGGATAACTTGGTTTATAAATTAGGCAAAGTAAGAGATTATCAATAGTTAACAAAAAAGAACAATTACAATAATGTACTGTAACAAGTTATGTGAATGCAATCTCTCAACATATCTTTCAAATTTTAGTGTTTGTGCTGATGTGAGCACTCTCAGTATCATCCTGTCTATACTCACCCTTTTCTTTAATACTTATTTTTGAGAGAGCAAGTGGGGAAGGAGCAGAGGGAGAGAGAGAATCCCACTGACAGTGAGAGCCCGATGTGGGGCTTGAACTCACAAACCACGAGATGATGACCTGACCCAAAGTTAAGAGACAGATGCTTAACTGAGCAAGCCACCCAGGTGCCCTTCACCCTTCTTATGAGGTGAGGTGATAAAATACCTACGTGACTAGATGAAGTGAGGTGAATGACACGAAGTGAGGTGAATGACATTGTGATGCAGTGTTTGGCTACTAGTGACCTTCTGATAGGAAGTCAGAAGGATCATCTGTGTCCCAAGTGTGGTCGACAGCAGACTGAACAAACCATGGAAAGCACAGTCACAGATAAGGGGGGACTACTGTAGAAACAACATTCAAACACAATTCCTGTTTAAAAACAAAGGTCATGTAAAGCTATACTTTGTAGAAGACACTTAAAATTACACAAAATGAGGAGCAGGGAGTGACAAATGTGCTCCCCACAGGACCTGGGATAGACGTCACATCTTATTTTAGAAGACTTTCTGTTTTTTGAGAGCCCAAGTGGGGCAGGGGTGAAGTAAGGGGGACAGAGAATGTGAGGAGGTCTCTGCGCTGACAGGCTGACAGCAGCAAGCCCGACGTGGGGCCTGAACTCAGGAACCGTGAGAGCAAGATCATGACCTGAGCTGAAGTCAGATGCTCAGTGGAGCCACCTGGGCACCCAGGAGACATTTTTTATTTTATTACAAGGGCACTGTGTGTTTCTATAGAACATTTTGAAAAAGCGATAGAAAAGCACAAAGGAAAAGGAAATTCAGCCATATTTCCGTGACCAGAAACAATCACTATTAAGTTCTGGTATTTTCTTTCTGGTCTTTTTACACACCTATCCTACATACACACACATTCCTTTGATCATGTTGCATGTACTAATTTGTTAAGGAGAATAAAAGAGTTTGCTTAATTTTATTTTTATCATCTAATAAAAGAAATTTTAATGTTTATTTTGAAAGAGAAAGAGAGAGAGAGAGAGACAGAGAGAGAATCCCAAACAGGTTCCATGCTCAGCATGGAGCTTGATCTGATGACTGCAGCTGACTGATGCACCCTGGTGCCCCCTGCCACTTTGCTTTTATAAAAGACCTACATTATCAGTACCTGTTTCCACTAACCAGAAGAAAACAAAGAGGATTTTCACTTTTACAAAAAAAGGCAAAAAACGAAAGCAGGGTTGGGCGTTCGTTTTGCAGCAAGCATTAGTGGGGGCATCATGCACCCCCTCTTAGCATGTCAGCATCAAGCACCCATAGCTTTGAACTGTGCCTGTGAGCATCTGTGCTTTATCTTGATTTATTTTGTGCATTTGTTAGCAAGATAGGTTCGAAGCTATCAAACACCCGAGAGAGGTTTTTCCCTTGGGTGTGGGATGGCTCAAAACTTTTCCCATGTAAATTAATGGTCAGTGCTGCTTCGTGTCACGCCATTTTGGTTTCTGAAAGGATTCACAGGAATGCCCTACTTCTGGATAGCAGGGGAGACCTGTGTATGTATTTTGGTTTGAACCATGTTAAGTTCCCTTTTTGTTATCCCATGTGCCATCTTATGGTGACTCCATGACATTTCATTTAAGCCATTAGTTTTCTTTCTTTGCTCTCACTACAGATTTAACAATTATATTGTTATTACTGTATTACTATGCATTATTTGCATTTTGTTAGGAATCACTGTTGTACCCAAAAGATTATTACAGGACTGTGAGATCTCTTATTAAAATAAGATTTCCAGGGGCACCTAGGTGGTTTAAGTTGAGCAGCCAACTCTTGATCTTGGCTTAGATCTTGTCCTGCATTAGGGTCCATGGAGGTTGCTTAAGATTCATATTCTCCACCCCACCCCACCCCCTGCCCCCGCCAGGCCTTCTCCCTGACTCTTGTACTCTCTAAAAAATAAATGAGAGAAAAATTAAAAATAAAAGATTTCTAAAAGTAAGTTTTCATTTTGGTGGTTATTTACTAAGAAAATATCTAAAACGGGTCCATTCTCTCTCAAATGGATTATTGTCCATTAGCACTTCATTTGCAAGTTGGAACTCTGCATGCACTTTTTATGGAGAAATGACGTTATAATTGGGGTCAGGTTCCCAGACAGACCAAAAAAGCAAATTTTCTATCCCAGAAATGCTGTACTAGGCAATGGAATGGAAAAACAAAACAAAAATAGAACATAATATCATGGTGTGAGTCACCTTCTAAAAAGTCATAAAATACATTAACACACAGACCATGTCTGAGACAGAGCCATACACCCCCAAGGCAAGACTCACCTGGCTCGAAACTCAGCGTTTCTCCTGAGGTTTTGGGTAAAGCAACTGCAGACCGAGGCAGAGGAGAGATCTGTTTTGTATTTGCCATGCTGTTGGGTACAGGGAAGGGCTTCCATGGCAGCTCAGAGGCTAAAGTTACCTTGCTCCACTGCAGGGGGGGGGGGGGGGGGGGGGGGGGGGGGGGGGGGGCGCGGAGAGGTGGATGGGTGCATGTGTTTTGGAAATTGCGTATGGATGGATGGAGCATATTGCAAAAATATTGCTAGTAAGATTATTACATTTAAAGTTCTGTGCCTTTGGGTATATCTTAGACCAAATCCAAGTAAGTCTGGCTACTCCCAGTGTGGAAAATCTGGAACAGATTTTAAAAGGACTGTAGTGACGCTCTCCTCATCACATTTGATAACCTCAGAAATAACTTCAGTGATGTTGCGTATCTGGGGTAAGGCTTCATGGTTAGTCCTAAATGCTGTTTTTCTCTCAACTGTGCCAGAGAGCACTGACCAATATAGTAAGATGCTGACAAATGATCAGCCCAATTAATCTGAACCTTTGATTAGTTTACCTTCTATTCTTGTGCTATTTTTTAAAGAATGGCACTTGGGAAAAATGCCTACCAATGTGAGGGGTTTACTGACGTTACTCTGATGGGGTGTCTCCTCAGCCCCTACTGAATTCAGGTCAATTTCTGTTGCCTCATAACATCTACACAACTGATAAGAATCAAGCCCCAAGACATCCATTACTAATTTAAACGTGGTTTTCAAAAGATTTTTTAGCAAATAATGTCTAAATCAAAAAAATGTTTCTGACCCCAGACTAAGCAAAAAATTCGATTAACCAGCATTAACTCAGAGACTCCTTTTACTCAATTATGTATAATTATTCCTGGTTGGGGAGAAGGGGGGAAGCCAGCTACATCACTTCAGTAAAAGATAAACTGATTTTCAGAAAAGCAAACAAATGCCAATCTGGATAAGTGAAGTAACAGATTTTCACAAATTATTTTAAAACTGAGTATTTGGGGATAAACATAATTAACTTTCTTAGGTCCATGAAAAGCCTTTTAATAAACTTTCAATTCCAGGGGTGCCCGGGTGATTCAGTTGGTTAAATGTCCGACTTTGGCTCAGGTCATGATTTTGCAGCTCGTGGGTACTAGCCCTGCATCAGGCTCTGTGCTGACAGCTCGGAGCCTGGAGTTTGCTTCAGATTCTGTGTCTCCCTCTCTCTCTGCCTCTTACCCGCTTGCTCTCTCTCTCTCAAAAATAAACATTAAAAAAATTAAAAAAGAATATAATTTCAGTTCCAGTCTTAATGAGCTTGACGCAATAGGTCTTTGCACTTTCAAGTCATAACCGCTTCATTCGTACCTTGGTACTTCCATTTCCCGTGAGCAACACATGGAACAGGTCTGTAATGTAACTGTTAAGCATGTGCTGGTGGTCATTTGTAACTGTCATGTTTGTTAACAGTCTCAGTCCAGCCAGCTGTACAGCAGAGTCCAGGGGACCAGAGAGGACATCCTTACAGACTTGATTGATGTATACCTAGGGGGAAAGAAATGAGCATCTTAGAATCTCCAAAAGTTAGTCTGTTAAATAGTAACTTTTCTGCAGAGTGCAGTAGGGCAATTGTTCAGGATGAGACTGGCTCCTCAGATAAGATGACGTTTCTATCTAGCCCTCAAACTTTGGCAACTTTTCTTTTTTGTTTTTTAAAACTACCTTTAGGTGGCTTTTTTGTTAATGCCAGGCAATATGCGAGGATTTTATAAATACACCTTGCTTAGTCCATAAGAGGATTAAGTAATGAGGTGGGTGTTCTTGAGGGGCATTTTACAGACAAGGACAAGGACAAGTCATCAAGGAACTTGGATCCCCTGCCCAATATTAAGCCAACTGGTAGGGGAGCAATGTCCAATTCCAGAGACCATGCTCTCAACTCCAGTGGTCTCTCAATTATTGGGGGCCTCCCAACACAATCTACCTTTCTGTGTTGACTGGTCTGGGCATATTAGGACCAAGGAGGAAGACCTGTCTGGCTACCTGGCATCAAGGTAAGTGTCTTAACAATAGGGTCTACAAGCTACATCCTGTTAGAAGTAAAGAATGGGGGAAACAAAGTGAAAGAATTTTTCTCTAGAGTTAGTTCTATCCAAAGTAAGGATAGGCCAAACTGTCTTTGGCCCAGTCTTATTATTTACCTAGTTTATACATACGAATTACTCCTTCTGACACTGTTAACTGTCACCGGCAAAATGAAATGCAACGCCAGGAGTAGTATTTCACACGCGACAGAAATGAACCCACCGGTGATGGAAAGTTTTCTAAAACTGTTTTCTATTTCTGGCCATGATCTTTCCAGCCTGGAAAAACTAGATCTCACAGATAATTACCATTCACCTAACTAAAAACTCCACCAGAAATTCTAACTGCTAAGAAAAATTTCCTAATATAAAATGCTAAGAAATTACCAACTGTCCCATAAGCCAAGACTAAGTTTTTTAAAAAGCCAAAGGTATCCATGTTACCATAGAAACTAGAGTAATGGCAGTAAAGCAGAGAGATTAAATTTTTAGTCTTGTTTCAGATCTGATATTTATAAGTCACCTGGCTCTCTTTGACTACAATTTCATTACCTACTCATCCTTCAAAAAAAAAAAAAAAGCATTTCCTTAGCTCTTTACAAGTCATGTATTATCCGAAGAGGCTGACATCCTTCAAAGCATTTCCTAAAATGCGTTGAGCACTTTCTTTTTTAATGTTTATTTCTTTTTGAGACAGACAGAGGCAGAGAGAGAGAATGAACAAGTGGGGAAGAGGCAGAGGAGAGGCAGACAAGGAATCTGAAGAAGGCTCCAGGTGGTGAGCTGTCGGCATAGTGCCCGACATGGGGCTCGAACTCGTGAACCACAAGATCATGACCTGAGCCAAAGTTGGATGCTTTACTGACTGAACCACCCAGGCAGGTGCCCCAGTATTTTCTCCAAGTCTTTTCACCAGTTCAATTTTAGCAATAAGATCACCCAGTGGGTCAGCTCAGTTATTTCTGGAGCTGTGCCCGTCTCCCCTTGCCCCTTTCTCTTGCAATTCTGTCCCTCCCCAACTATGCCTATAGAAACCAGACATTAAAAGCCAGGTTGCATTCTACCTTTTACAGAAACTTTTGGATGAGATCTCTCCTTTCTGTGTACTCAGCAATGTTTTAGTTACATTTTTCCTTGAAGTATGTCATCATGTTCTGCTCTTCACCACACCTAGTCACAGACTTGCCTTCTTTCTCCTTCTAGCTTTCTTAAAACAGGAGTTAATTATGTTCATTTCTAAACTCTGCATCACAGAGCAGGAGCTCAATGAATGCTGAAATAACATAAGCTCCAACTTTATTTTATCTTTCTGCTGATATTAAGAGACTTTGGCCAGTCTCCTTTACTGCACTTGGATTAAAATGAACCCCAAACTCAAAAGCCTGAGGAACCTCTTATTGGCTGTTTCAGATTCCTCCTTCCTCTGCCTTATTCTCCATAAAAAATGGGCAGAGGACCTGAATACACATTTTTCCAAAAGACATACAAATGGCTGATACATGACAAGATGCTCAATGTCACTCGCTTCAGGGAAATACAAATCAAAACCACTGAGGTAGCATCTCATACCCATTAGAATGGCTACTGTCAACAGCAACAACAACAACCAAACAAGCCTTGGGGAGGATGTGGAGAAAAGGGAATCCTGTACCCTGCTGGTGGGAATATAAATTGGCACAGCCAGTATGCAACACAGTATGGAGATTCCTCCAAATATTAAAAATACAACTGCCATATGATCTAGCAATTCCAGTTCCGGGCATTTATCTGAAAACAGCAAAAGAATAATTCGAAAAGATATCTGCACCCGCTATGTTCACTGCAGCATTATTCTCAACAGCCCAGAAACAGAAATAACCTGTGGTGACAGATGAATGAATAAAGCACATGTGGTCTGTATATACAATCGAGTATGATTCAGCCATGAAAAGGAAATCCTGCCATTAGCAACCAATGGATGGACTTCGAGAGCGCTATGCTAAGTGACACGACAGAAAAAGACAAATACTGAAGGTATCTCTTATATATAGAATAAAAAGCTGAACTCCCACAACTAGAGTAGCACGGTGGTTGCCAGGGGCTCAAGGATGAAGGAAATGGGGAGATTTTGGTCAAAAGCTTCTAGGTAGAAGATGAATTAAGTTCTGGGAGCTGATGGATAGCAGGGTGACTACACTGTATTATGTACTTTAATGGTGCTGAGAGAGTAGACCTTAAATGTTCTCACCACACAAACACAAAAGGTAATTCCGTGTGGTAATGGAGGTCTTAGCTAACACTGTAGAAGACTTACACATTTGTGATTTCAGCGAACTTACCTTTATCTTCACTTGATTTTCAACATTCACACTCAGGTTATTCAGTGCATTTAAAGCTTTCTCTTTAATACTGTAGTTGGAATTGTTGATTTTGCTTCCAATGATTGGAATACCACCCAGTTCACGAATAATGACCTAAGGCGGGGGGGGGAACATCACTTCAGTATGCATTCCCTTCACCAAATTTTTTGCACATACAAATACAAATACAAATACATGACTCTTTAGGAATGCCTTTCCTAGTTCTTACTTACTCATTTATACATTTATTTTTGAGAGAGATAGACAGAGGGTGTCAGTCTCATTGCAGGGCTTGAAACCATGAACCAGGAGATGAAGTCAGATGCTTAACTAACTGAACCACACAGGCAACCCCATAATTCTTTTTTTTTATTACATTTTAAATTTCATTAAAATTAAATTTCCATAATTTTATAGGTAAGAAAATAGATTGAAAATAAATTAAGATACATAGTTATTTAAAAACTATAGCTTGGAGATATACAATGAAGATTTGCAGTGCTACTGAAATGATCTCAAAGCAACTTATAAACAAATTATTTTCCTCTGAAATAAGTTCTGGGACTTTCCTATTACAGGCAAATTTGGAAAAGTGTTATGTTTTGCTAAACTGTATTCTTTGGAACACAAATCCCTCAAGATATTAATAGATGTTCCATTAAGACAAAAAAAGATTTCATGGTTAAGGATGTTTGAGAAACTCTAGGTATAATAACTGCAAACATTATTTTGCAGCAGTCATATGTTCATCATGTGCACTGAACATCTCCAAGAGAGGAGCATTAAATATAGCATTTCCACAAACGCTACACAAAATAGAGGGTCATTTTTAGTGGGGAGGGAAGGAGGGGGTTGGAGGAAACACCTATTAACACCTCGAGGACTTGGGAGTTCCACACAACTTGAGAAATGATACCCACATTTTTGACGAAATCATATCTGGGGAATTTCTCACCATCAGTTACCACACTATGCTACTACTATGCGCCCTTGGCCCCAACATCAAAAGATGCATTAACTGCTTCATTTCTTAAAAGAAAAATAAGCTGAACATTGCTCCTGTCAGGTGAAACCATGCCCTTCTGTTAGAAAAAGGATGAAAAAGTATCTTGCCTTCATCTACATTTTACCAACAGCCCGAAGCCCTATTCTGCTGTCCAGAGTGGGCTCAGCACCGAGAGAAAAAGAAACCACCTGTGTAATCCAGGTTCTTCCCAAAGAACTGTGATTACTAGACAACAGATTTCTTTGGTTTGTTTTAACTACCCTATTTTTTTTTTAATATTTTTATTTATTTCTAGGAGAGAGAGAGAGAGAGAGACAGCGTGAGCAGGGGAGGGTCAGAGAGAGAGGGAGACACAGACTCTGAAACAGACTCCAGGCTCTGAGCTGGCAGTCAGCACAGAGCCCAACGCGGGGCTCGAACCCACAAACTGCGAGATCATGACCTAAGCGAAAGTCAGACGCCCAACCGACTAAGCCACCCAGGCGCCCCTTAACTACCCTATTAAAGCAGATGAAGGCACTATAGTTTATGACCAGGGACACCAACTGCCATTAGCCAAGAAATCACCTGTTCGAATAGTGGCTGCAGACCCACTCCTTCTGCTCCAGTCTGTTTCAGAGGGTGAAACGATGGCACCAGAAACAGCCCCACTATATAGGCAGCCTGACAGTCACCATCTGTTGTTTTTGTTTGTGTGATGCCCCTCCCCCCTGGGGCAGACAGAGCACCTCTTCTATCCCATTTAGTCCCTGATGGGTGCTGGTGGAAGGTGCTCACAGCCACCCCAGCCCCTGCTATCTGGGTGAGATGATCACGTGAGCCAGGCCTGGTTACCCACGGTCCAGGGAGCCTTATTAGCACAGCACTTGACCCTGGCTGAGCAACTCCACCTGTCAGATCATGAGCTACAGGGACGAAGGCTTGGGCGGCCAGTGGCTTTCTTTTCTGTGAAGAAAACCTTTCTGTGGCCTGAGACAAAAAACCCAATATACAGAAATAAGCAGGGATAAGCACAGCCAGAAGACGGAGGCAGGGAGAGCTCTGATAATGTGTTCTAGAACCTTAAATGTTGCCACTTGTGCCTGAAGCCAGTACTATTCTTGGAGGTTCATGTTAACTGAGCTCAGATTTTTCCTTTTTGGTTTAAAGTAATTAAAGCTGGGAGTGCCTGGGCGGCGCAGTCGATTGAGCATCTGACTTTGGCTCAGGTCATGATCTCACAGTCGGTGAGTTTGGGCCTCGTGTTGGGTTCTGTGCTGACAGCTCAGAGCCTGGAGCCTGCTTTGGATTCTGTGTCTCCCTCTCTCTGTCTCTGCATACTCGCTCTCTCTCAAAAAAATAAATATTAAAAAATGTTTTTTAAATATAAGTTGGGTTCTGTCACTTGCAGCTGAAAGATGAGGAGTAATCAACAAATACTCATTATATCTCCCTATTCTCTCAAAAAGCTTTACAGTAACCCTTGCCATGCTGGAAAAAACTTGACTCAACTAGAGCGTAAATTCAACATGATTTGGTTTTCATGACAAAGTTAACAAAAGGCATTAGCTGAAAACCATGACAATTTTTTTTTTTTACTTTTTCTCCATGGGAGTGAGAGAGAGAAGGAAGCATTCAAATTGAGCTCTCGAGACTTAGTGTTACTACGTCACTACTGGTAGAAGGTAACATTGGTTAGCGTTGTTAGCAGTCAAGAGCCCACCTGCATCAGAACCACCCCTACAAGACTTATATGCGAAGAAAGCATGTACTTCAATGTTTGATGCTTTTACTGTTAAACTACAACACTACTGAATTTTAAATAATTAAAAAAGCCATGCAATGCTAAGTGTGGTGTAGATAACATTCATCTGCTAACCGGTGTGATGCCTGTGATGACCTTTCAATGACCGTGAGTCCTAGTAACACTATGTCACTGTTAGGATATGCTTTTCAGAAGTAAACATTATGCTCTAGGGATACATCCCCACACTATGAGGAAGTGAGGATCTGGGATTAAGTACCTTATCAGGGTCACAAGTTACTTGTAGGGTGTAAGAATGAGAGGCGCCCATTCTAAGAGGAGGTACTTACTTGGTTAGCTGAAAAGGCTGCATTGTTACCCAGAGTGACCAACGCTCTTTCAATAATTATAGGATCATCAGTGGACTCAAGCAGGTAGAGGAGTTTCTGAAGTTGGTCAACATTTAGGATGTCATCGTATGAACCATCGGTTAAATCTTCTGCAGAAAGACAAAGTTATTTTAAAACCCATTTAAAATCAATAGGAGATTAAAGCATTTTTATTTTTATTATTTTGAGAGAGAAAAGAGAGCATGGGAAGGGAGAGGGAGGGAAGAAAGGAGGGGTAGAAGGAGAGAGGGGGAGAAGGGGTGAGAAGGGAAGAGGGAGAGGGAGGAGAAGAGGAGGGTAGGGAGAGAGAGGAAGAGGGAGGTGTGGGAGAGGAAGAGAGAGGGAGGGAAGGAGGGGGAAAGGGAGGGGGGAAGGGGGAGAGGTGAAAGGGAGGAAGAGAGAGGGAGGTGGGGAGAGAGAAAGGGAGAGAGAGGGAGAGAGAGGGAGAGAGGGAGAGAGAGGGAGAGAGGGAGAGAGAGGGAGAGAGGGAGAGAGAGCGACAGAGAGAGAGAGGGAGGGAGGGGGAGAGAGAGAGAGAATGAATATGAATCTTAAGCAGGCTCCACACCCAGTGCAGAGCCTGACATGGGGCTCAATCCCATGGTCCTGGGATCATGACCTGAGACAAAACGAAGAGTCAGATGCCTAACCGACAGAGCCCCTCCCCCCACAGGTGCTCCTAAATAATTTTTTTTTTAATATTTTTATTTATTTCTAGGAGAGAGAGAGAGAGAGAGAGACAGTGTGAGCAGGGGAGGGTCAGAGAGAGAGGGAGTCACAGACTCTGAAACAGGCTCCAGGCTCTGAGCTGGCAGTCAGCACAGAGCCCGACGCGGGGCTCGAACCCACAAACCGTGAGATCATGACCTAAGCGAAAGTCGGACGCTTAACCGACTAAGCCACCCAGGCGCCCCTAATTTTTTAAATAATATCAAACGCCTTCTCTGATGCCAGGCACAGTTTTAAGCACATCATCTGCTTTATCTCATTTAATCTTCAAGTAACCTTTGGAAGGAGATACCATTTTAATTCTCAATTTACAGATGGTAAACTGAGGCTTACAGACATTAAGAAATTAGCCAATGGTCACTTGGTATTTATTTCTTAGTAAGAAACTGCATGCCAGACCATCTTCTATTTCTTCTTTTAAAAATCAGGTACATGCATCTAATGGGACACTTGCCTAGGGGCACAGATTAATGAAGGAAAAGGATTTGTATTATGTTTTCTGATCACAATTTTAAGGGCACCTCAGACAGGAGGAAACGCTATGGGAGGAACCCAATCATGCGCGGCTTTTTGTTTGGTTTACGTGACCGTGGCACGATGACTGCGATGCTAAAATAACAGTCTTGCTGGGGGCCAAGAACAAAATGAAAGCTCTTGTTTTGAGCAGTTGAATACTGGTCAGTGACTTTTAGAATTTATAGCTCTATCTTAAAAAAACACAACTCTGTTTACAGAAATTACCACAGGAAGAAGAGAAACCATAACACCATTATTGTGTGTTCAATGCTGAAAAATGAAATTGTGATTAAAGGTTAGACAGTGCACATGTCCACAATTCACTGCTGGGAGAGGGGCGGCCTACAACAAGTGCTATATGATGTCATATCTGTGCTTTAAAAAAATAATTTATTTTGAAAGAGATAATAGAGAGAAAGGGAGACAGAGGATCCAAAGCGGGCTCCATGCTGAGAGCAGAGAGCCTGATGCGGGGCTTGAACTCATGAACCATGAGATTATGACCGAAGTGGAAGTCGGAAGCATAACTGAGCCACCCAGAAGCCCGTCCCTCTTCTTTTTTAAAATACGTGTCAAATTATTAAAGGTGGTTATCTTTGGGTGTTGGATTATGAATGACTTGTTTTCTACCCTGTGCTTGGGAATACTTTTATTTTTCCACAATAAACACGTATTACTCCTGTAATGAAAATAATGAAGTACAGTAAAACCTTGGATTGCAAGTAACTTGTTCTGTGAATGTTTTGCAAGATGAGCAAACATTTGTAATACATTTTGACTTTGATAAAAGAGCGATGTCTTGCAATATGAGTATTACGTGATGCCAAATGTCACATTATCACAACTGAGCCAGTGGTTCTCTCTCTCTGACTGCGGGATTATGGGTGACTGTCTTCCATGTTCAGATGTTCAGCCTTAGGCTGTGGGGTCTGGCAGAAACCAGTGATTTTTCAGAACTTTGATAGGTGCCGACAACTGGCCCTCGTGTATTTTTTGTCCCTTCAAAGCACCTACGAACAGTCCTTTGCTTTTCCATCCAAGAGTGAGCTTAGGAATGCTCTGCTTCATTCTAGGTCAGGCTGCCTGCAGATAGAGACCCTTTCCTCTGCTGCCTTATTGCCAGTTCCAGTAAATACAGTCTATGAAAAGGGTTTATTGACACTGTACTGTAGCCAACATCCGTGTGAGCATATACAATGGCCTCCATACAGAAAAAGGTTGAAAAGAAAGGTGGTGAGGAAACGATTACAGTTGAAGAAGGAAATCACTGAGAAGTATGAATGTGGTGTGCGAGTGGCCAAAATTATAAGACATTTATAAGAAGTTTATGTCTACATCTCATCTGCAGAGGAGGAGGAGGAGGAGAAGAGGCTGAGGAATCCCTCACTTCAAATGAGATTAGGGAGATATGTCAAATGAGGGAACCTGCAAAATTTTGTAGAAAATCACGCGAATAGGGCTATGAATCCGTTTAACGACAGTGCAACGTCACGTTTCTGTGAAATCCTCAAAAGGAGGCAAAAGCAAGTGTCATTGGCTAGGTTCCTTGTTAGAGCTGCATGAAAACAAAGATTCTACAGAGCAACAGACAGCAGTGACTCCATTAGTGATCGTGAAAGTCGTCCTCTACAATAACCCGCCTCTCCTGTCTCCCTCACAGCAGCCATGAACACTGTCAAAGGGAAGTGCAGGTTAATTTATTTTTCTTCATATTTTGTATTTTATTATTTTGTATTATATTACAGTATTGTAATCATTTTTATATGACTAGTTTTGGGTGGTGGAACAAATCATCTGAGTTTCCATTATTTCTTATGGGGAAATTCTCTTTGATACACAAGTGCTTTGATAAAAGCATGCTTCCGGAAGAATTATGCTGGGAAACCAAGGTTTTATATACTGTATAATGTCACATATATAGAACCTAAAAATAAATAAGTAAACCAAAAAAATGAATTCATCAATACAGAAAATAGATTGGGGTTGCTGGAGGCAGGCAAAGGAGTGTAAAATGGATGAAGGTGGTTTATCTAGTTTAAGATAAATCAGTCTTAGGAATGTAATGTACAACTTGGTGACTACAGTTAGCAATACTGTATTGTGTGCTTGAAAGCTGCTAAGAGAGTAAATCTTAAAAGTTCTCATCTCAACAAAAAAGTCTAACTTTTTGAGGTGAAAGGTGTTAACTGATCATTCTGCAATATGTACAAATACATAAATCAAATACGTCAAATTGAATCAAATACATATACCATATATTTGATATCAAATATATACATATGTATCAAATCATATTATATACTTATCACTAGTACAATGTTGTATGTCAACTATATCTCAATTAAAACAATAAAGATCATCTTCTAAAACGTGATGCTACAAAAAATGAGTACTGCACAAGTCTTCTTCATAAATAAAGGTGAGTAGCTTCAGGAAGAAGGGATCATGAGCAACTTATTTTCTAAGTTGCCTGGTGACTTTGGAAACTGGTAAAATTAAGTTTAAAAGTAAGACTATCTATGTTCACCACGTTAAGAAGGTACCTGAGTCCAGTCCACTAGACCAATTACCTATATGGAAATCTCTAAAAGAAAACAAATTAGGTAGACTTTGTAAGTAAAGGTAAATAAAAATCTTAAAAAAAAAGCTTTTTCTTTTTTTTCTTTTGTGCCAAAGGAAACACACTTTCCCCCTACTCTGTTTCCTTAAGAGTATTTCCTTGAGCAAACTGGTACAGGTGACGCTAGAACAAGGTGGGGGCTGGGGGGCAAACACCCGAAAAGTTGAAACTCCATGTATAAATTTGGACTCCCCAAAGCTTAACTATTAACAGCCTACCATTAACTGGGAAGCCTTACTGAAAACAGTCAATTAACATATATTTTGTATGCTCTATGTCTTACGTGCTGTATTCTCATAATAAAATAAATTATAAGAAAAATACCTTTTCAGAATTGCACATATATTTACTTAAGAAAAGCCGCTTGTAAGTAAACCTGACCAGTTTAAACCCCGGTTGTTTAAGAGTCAGCTATAACTGTAAATCCTGTATCTCTCTGACATAACTGAACAGCCTGGGTGGCTAGGTTGATTGAGCATCTGACTTTGGCTCAGGTCATGATCTCGCGGTTCGTGGGTTCAAGCCCTGCATCGGGCTCTGTGCTGACAGCCAGCTCAGAGCCTGGAGCCTGCTTCGGATTCTGTGTCTCCCTCTCTATCTGACCCTCACCTGCTCACACTGTCTCTCTCTCTCTCTTAGAAATAAAACATTAAAAAAAATTAAAGGCTAAGTAACCCTCTTGCCAGTTTACAATGCAACAAAGTGCTCCTTAGAGGCTTTGGGGCTGTTTGAAATGTGAGCATCAAGAAAGATGGAGCCCGGATTTCTGAGTTTAGCAGTGGCACCAGGCTCACCTGCTTATCCTCAAGATACTGAGAAGTCTTATTTTTCCCCTGGATAAAGGCAATTAGCTAACACAAATAGCCACCACAATTACTAGTGAGTTTAGGATGAACTATGTGTAGCAAATGGTGTTGTCAAGTCCTTACTTAAAGACATGTTACTGTTTATCTTGCAAACAGGCACAGATTATGAAATAGATTCTATCTGCCTAGGTACATAAAAACAGTGAGAGTTCTGTCTTTTCAATCCCATTAGCAGATTGCCTGTGAAGGGCTCGGCAATCTAGTTTAATGCTTATTCAACAATAAAACTGTTTCGTTCTTTTCTATATTTGTAGAGAGAAATTTCTTAGTTGGTAGTTTTTATTTTTAATTATTTCTGTAACAGCGTCCATGACCTGAAATATCCCTTCAGAACACTCAGCAAACCCTCAGAATCCCTAAAGCACCAATTAACTTTTGTACCGCAGCTTAACCACACACTTGTTGGCTAGGAGGGTGCCCTCCCCGTGCAGACAACTGTTTCAGTTAATATATACACGTGTGTCTGAACTTCCAGGCTCTCTCTGCAACTTTGTATATGAACCACAAAGACTTCAAGGTACCTCCCTCTGAGGCTGGGCCGAACCCCGGCAGAGATACACTCCTCAGGCGCTCCTTCTTCCAGGGCAAGTGCAAGCACCATTTCACCTACCGCTGCAGGCGCCGCAAACCCCAGGCCACAGTAGCAGCAATCCCTTTGGTAACAAAGAGGCCGGGAGCAAGCTTTAACTTGAGGGGTAATCGACATGCTTTTGAGAAACCCAATCAATCCTTGGCTGTGACGCCGCACTCAGGCAAGAAAATCTGCGCAACTTCTCAGGATTTTGAACAAAGTGGAGGCAAGGGGAGGCTCAAAACCCTACCCGCCCCCGATCAAGCGGACGAGCCGCCCTCTGCACCTGTGCTTCTCGACCTCGCCCTTCTCACGAACCTCCCTCTCGGTCTCCCTCCTCCAGCTCGGCTTCTTTCTCGGCGAGCACGGGAGAGCCACGGGCGCCTGCAGTCTTCAACCCACACCCTCGGGGTGACACTCAGGCCCCGTCTGCCGTCCCCGGCCACCTGCGGGACACCCCTGCGGCCTCACCTGCGGAGCGCGAGGGGCGCAGCCGAAGTCCGCGGCCGCCTTGCCGCTGGCCCCGCGTCAGCTTGTAAACGCAGTAGCAGGCGCCGGCCCCGAGGACCAGGCCCGCCGCCACCCAGCCCACGTGCCGGGCGCGGCCCATGCTGCAGCTGGGGCGCAGCGCTGGGCCTGGCCGGGGAGGCTCCGAGCAAGTAGGTCCCGCCACCACCCCAGCGCCAGCCGGCGGAGAAGAAAGGAAATGGGGTCTGAGCTCCGCCTCCCGGAAACGGCCTACTCCCGCCCCGAGCGTCCCGGCAGCTCCGCAGAGGCGGGGCCGGGGGCAGGACTCTGTGAAGGGCCGCGGGGACTGCGCGTCTCCCAGAGGGCGCAGTGGGTCCCGCCGCCGTCCAGAGGCCGGCTTCCCCTGGCTTCGGCCCGGGCCCCGCCCCCCAGGGCCGAAGCCCGCCTCCCTCCCGGCGGCCCCGGACGGTGGGGGCGCGGAGCTTCCGGCGCAGCGCCCACCCCTCCCTCCGCCCCTCCCGCGGTTGCCGGGGCAACGCAGGGACGCGCTGGCACCGAGCCTGGCCACCGCGCCTGGTACGCGGGCCGCGGAAAGCAGGCGGGGAGTTTCGGTGGGGGCTGTGGTCATGGCCTCGCTACGCGCTGCCAACCCCCAGCTGTGGAACTACTTCAAAGAGAACTACATTCCTCAGGTCTGCGAGGTACTGGAACCACGTGGCGGCAGTTAGCCGAGGAGGGAACCCGAAGATTTCCCGGAGGAGCTGGGGTTTGGCCCGAGAGGGAGTCGAGGGATTCAGGAGCGGGATGGGACAGGGTGAGGTTAGCCTTGAACAGGGTGGCGATCTAGGCTGAAGATACAGATCAGAGACAAGACAGAGCCGGGTGATGGTGGCTGAAAGGAGAGAATGGGTGACGTGTCTCAGGGAGAAAGCGTACAGGGCCCCAAACTCCAAACTTTAAGGTTTGGGCGAGAGGGGCCTGAAGACGGGAGGAGTACCAAAGAAGTGCCGTAGAAACAGGGGAGGAAAATCAGGAAAGTGTGGCTTTATGAAGAGAGCGGGCAATGGTGTCACCTAAGATGCTGTATAGTGGATTTGGCACATGGTGGAGGCAGAAGATAGATTTGAGGTTAGCTGAGGAGAGAGTGGACGCTGAGACGTCTAGACGGAAGGTAGCCATCCCCTTGTGAGGGGAAAGACCCCAGGACCGGTTTTGCCTTAAACAAGAGACTGCTCCCTCCCCCCACCATTATAACCGGAAGGAAAGAGCGCCGGAGAAGGGTGGGTAGGTGTTGTAGTTTTGGGGGGTAGGAAGCCAAGAAAGTTCTCTGGTGACTTCCATTTCCTCTACAAATATTTGGTGAGATATTTGCTAAGATGTGTGTGTTTGGGTGGGGTTGGAGGCTAAAGAAGGGGTTTTGAGCAAAAATAAAGTATGTGGAGAATGAGGGGGAGAGAAGTCTAGGGAAGGAAGGGCCAGGCAGTATTGGGAGCCCAGCTTGGGATAATGACTCTTATGCAGTTAGGAGTGCAATTTGGTACAGCGTTTTTGGATGGTAATTTAGAAATATTGTTGATCAAACATTTCGTTTCTAGGGATCCACTTTAGAGAAATACTTTCACATGTATCCAGAAAGCTGTCCAAGGATATTCATTACAGTGAAAACCATAAATAGCTTATATATGAATGAGGGAATGGGTTAGTATATAGGATAAAGTATATGTGTACCTTTTGAAAAGAAAAGCCCTCCAAGACACATTTTAAAAGAAGGAGAAAAAATGCAAGATTTTTCCAGAAGTTCTACTATAATCGACTCATATATGTATGTATGCATGCATATCTATCTGCAGTTAAAACAATAATGCATGTATAGAACACATGCAACGCTATTAACAGCAAATGTCTGTTTTAGGAGAGAACCCTAATTTTATGTTCTATATAGATCTGTATTGGTTTAGTTTTTTTCTGATGAGTTTCATTCCTGTTTTACTTCAATTATATTTGAAAATATGTGGGGAGCATGATACTCATCTTCCCCACTGTGTGATTTTCTTAAGTAGCAGTCAGTAAACCAGATGTAGGTATAGAAATAAGAGCTGACTACATTCAGGATAGGCGTTTGCCAGGCATGGAAGGGCAGTGGCAAAGGAACTAAGCTTTTGAGAGTGCCTGATAGGCCAAGGGACTGGGTAGGAAATGAGAACAGGACATATACTGATATATGGGCAGAAATTGGAGGTTCTTAAGGAGTGAAGAGGGTAGAGGGAGTAATTGAGTGGGGGAGCTGGAAAAGTAGGAGGTAGGCATCAGGGAGCGGAATCTTTGTATTTAAGATTTAGGATAGAGTGATGGCTCAGTCCAGGTTGGCTGTGGAGTAGATAGCAGAAGTGGACTTGAGTTGAGGGTCAGAGAACATCAGGGAAGTGATAGTGTCTCCTCATCTTGCTCTTCACTTTCCATAACACTCGTAAGCTGCCAGAGGCATCCCTGGCTCCTTCTTTGGGTGAGAGCACCCTTTGCTCACCAAACTACCACGTTGCTTTGCTCCCAGAAGAAAGAGGCCCTCAGAAGTGCCCTTTGCCTAAGGTGACAATCTCATGACTCTTAGGAGTCCTACGTTCACTCCTGTTACCACATTGCCAGTAGGTGCAAGAGAACAGTTTTCTAGGGTCTCTCACTCCCACCTTAACCTGGTCACCCACTTCCCCCAGAGACTGTCAGGATAAATCCCATTGTGTCTCGTATCCCTGCATAGCTATTCATCTAATCCAATTTGCCAGGATTGGTTATCTTCCAAAACCCATTATCTGCAAGCTTTGGAATATATATATATATTTTTTTCCATGTGTGTGTATATATATTATCACGGATTCCCTGTATATTTAACCTTTTTGAACTTCACCTACCTATCCTAAATAAAACATGGATATCATTTCCCTACAAACCCTTGCATAGAGGCTGATTTAAAACAAAAAACCCAACACTGCTTCACTTACTGGGCTACTGATTCTGTTGACTGACAGTTTTCATCAGGTTTAGAAAATTGTGGATCGTTTTCAAACAATGTTTCTCCCCAATTCTTTCTCTCTACCTCTTCTGGGACTCCAATCATAAATATGTTAGGGTTTTATTTTTTTGTTTTGTTTTTTCCCTATTTTTCCTTTTGTGCTCAAGTTTGGATATTTTTCACTGATTGTCTTCAGGTTTATTGATTCCGTTTTATTCTGGGTCCAGTATTAAATATATCAAATGAGTTTTTAATTTCAAGCAGTATATTTTCAAGTTTTAGAATGTCAGTTCTTTTTTTATACGTTCCAATCAAAACTCTGCATCTTTTCATCCATCTTGTCTATCATTTCCTGTTTGCTTTAATATGTTGTTATTTTAAAATCATTGTTAACATGAGCAACTTTGAAGTCTCACAGAATGGGATAATTGTTGAAACTGGGTGATGGGTACATAGGGGTTCATTATACTCTTGTTTACTTTCTCTGTGTTTGAAGTTTTCTATAAGAAGGTACAAGAGAGTAATGGCTGGGTGTTTTTTTCTCATAATGTATGTAGCTAGGGATGGATGGAATAACAGGTTTGATTTGGCTGTATAGTCATTTTGTTTGCTTGCTGTATCAATTATCCATTGCTATGTAATACAACTGTAAAACTTAGTGGCTTAAAACAGCAGGAATCATTTTGCTTGTTCAAAAATCTGAATTTTGAGGAGGTTTTCCAGAGAGAGCTTTTCTCTGCTCCATGTGGTACCATCTGAGGTGATGAACAGGGATTAAAGATCCACTTTTATTTTTTAATTTAAGTTTAGTGTGTGTGTGTGTGTGTGTGTGGGTGGGTGCATGTGTGCCACTTTGCAGATGGTCCCCAGCAAGGCCACGTGTATAGAGGCTTTCTCTGAGTACCTGCCTCCAAGCCATTACTGCTGTGTGGGACATGAGACAAATGGTGGCCCTTGAAGTTATCAAGGCAATAGATAAGAAGTCTTCCCCTGCCAGCAAGGTCCCGAGTCAATGGTAGTGAAGCATGTCCTCTAAGATCCACTTTTAAGATGGTTTGTTCACATGCCTGGCCAGTTGGTGCTGGGTATTGGCTGGGAGTTCAGCTACATCTGTGAGCCAGGAGGCTTGGTTTCTCCATATGGGCCTCTTCATGAACTGCTTGGACCTCAACACAGTATGGTGGCTCAGTTCTAAAAGCAAATGTCTCCAAAGAGAACAGGTAGAAGTTATATCACCATTTATGACCTCGGCTCAGAAGTCAACATAACATTTTCACCTAAATTCAAGGGGGGGGGGAGGTACATAGACCCCAGTTCTTGATAGAAAGCATATCACAGTCACATTCTGAAAATAGCCTATGGGATGGCAAATATTGTCATGGCCATTTTAGAAAATAGAATTAGCCAAACCTGTCTTGTTCATACAAAGAATCTGGGATCAAATTTAATTGCAAAGCCTTATGTGAACAAATAGGTTGTGGATCATAGCAGTATCACCCAGTAAGTGGGTTTCAACCCTTCCATAATTATCCCTTCTTTTCCTTTCCTATGTTTTCCAGGAGTAGATGTATACTGGACATTAACAAGTTGTTTACACAATATCTACTTCTCTCTTCCTTCTTCCTAATAATTTTTTAAAAAAATTTTAATGTTTATTTTTGAGAGAGAGAGAGAACAAGTGGGGGAGGAGCAGAGAAAGAGGGAGAGATAGAATCCGAAGCAGGCTGCAGGCTCTGAGCTGTCTGCACAGAGCCTGAAGTGGTGCTCGAACTCACAAACTGTGAGATCATGACCTGAGCCAAAGTCAGATGCTTAGCCAACTGAGCCACCCAGGCGCCCCTTCCTAATATTTTTTATATTCTTATTCCATAACCTATCTCTTCCCCACATAGTCTCTGCTTCAGGGAAACTGACTATCTCTATCTCTGGTGTTAGATTCTGATTGGCCTACAACCATCAGTTGTCAGTGTTTCAGTTTCTCTGGCCAGTGTTTTTGACCATGGTGATCGTGGGAGAAGGCAAGATGTGATCTAAGCCAACTTAGAACAGATGACTGGTTGGAATGCTGGGACAGAGATATAATATCTCTGGATGTTTATGAGGAAGTATGTAGCCCTGGGAGCCACTGGTGATTATCTTGTGTCCACAAAGATAAGTTGTTTTGTGGGCTCCTAGAGGTTTGTACACCCATCTTAAAGATTGCTATTTTGTATGTTCAATTCAAGTTAGTCAGGTAACTTTTTTTTTTTTTTTTTTTTTTTTTTTTTTTTTTTTTTTTTTTTTTTTTTTTTTTTTTTTTTTTTTTTTTTTTTGAGCCAGATTAGGCTCTTGACACCAGTGAGCCTTTTTTCCTTAGGGGATGGTTAAGTATGGTGGGCTAAGGAGGGTACATTAGACCATTCCATCCAGCAAATATTTGCTATGCATTTACCATGTATTAGTATAAAGTGCCTCAGTAGCTTTATCCACTTGCAGCTGTGAATCTGAAGCTGTTTCCAGCCCAAACTTTTCTCCTGTGTTCTCTGCACATTTATCTTTTTGGGTGTCCTACAGACCATAAAAGAAGTAAAAATAAATAGGTAAAGTTAATTTTAAAACTTTTTTAAATGCTTATTTAGTTTTGAAAGAGATGGTGAGTGGGGGAGGTACAGAGAGAGCTGGGTCAGAGATCTGAAGCAAGCTCTGTCCTGACAG